ATTTCGTAGGATGAAGCATTCGTAAGTAGAGGTTCCACTGTATTGTTAGTCCTTTACAAATGGCTTCAGTGTGGACCACAAGCCCTGGAAAGGGGAAATCAGCAGTTCCAATGCATCCACCAAAGTCCACATGCATCACTTTCAACTCTGCACTATATTTTCTATAAAAGTAGCAGTAAATATTTGCATTATCTATACTGCTTGCTATTTTAAGAGGTTTGGAGGAATATGGAATCACTTGACACAAAAAAAAAAATACGTACATAAAACCAAAACAAAACCCTTGACACCAACCTTGTTTCTGCTTTTCTGATATCTTTAGCAGGAAAAAAGAGGGATGGGAGGGAAGGAGAAATGATGATGAAGGAAAGAATGGATGAAAACAGAATAGCTGAGGCATCAGGCAAACACACCATGATCTATCCTTATTGACAAGGACTTGCCTAGTTTGTGCAGGTAAGTAGAACTTTCTGACCTAAAGCTTTAAAATAAGTCCTTTCCCTCCATACTCGCAGGCTCTTCTTAAGATGTTGTACCAATAGCCTCTCTCTAATTATACTTTTACTGAACAGTGAAGAATAAGAGGTGCCATTCTGCAAATGAACATAAATACAAGAAAATGAATAAAACAAGGCATATTAAGAAGAATGAAAATGGCTGGAAATTACAGAACAAGAAAACAATGATGAGCTGACTGTTGTTGTCATATGCCTTCAAGCCACTTATAACTTACGATGACCCTAAAGTGAACCTATCACAGGGTATTTTGGGCAGAATTTTTTTCAGAGGGACTTTGCCCTTGCCTTCCTATGAGGCTGAGAGTGTGTGAAGCTGAGAGGGTATGACTTGCCCAAGGCTACCTAGTAGGTTTCCATGGCCATCTGGAGATACGAACCCTGGTTTCCCTGTGTTGTAGTGCAACACTCAAATCACTACACTATGTTGGCTCTTGTACATATATTAGGGCACCATTATGCCCAAACACATTCAAAGACTGGTTGGAAGCAGACATGTTCACCAGGCTCTGTGCCCATATGTACCACATGGAACTGAATGAATCTCCATTCACTTTTTGAACCCTTTGGCTTCTGTATACCACCTCGGATCTAAAGAACGGAATGACCTCCCTTTCAACCACAGCGTAAAATGCATCCAGCTATTTCTGTGCACTTCACAGGCTTTTAGAGCAATACTTAAGATTCCCTACTTCCTTTTAACAAAAGAACTGAGGAAACATCACATCAGCAGCAAGAAAGATCAGCTGTAAATTGCAAGGCAGGGAAAGGAAACCCAGCTCTTCAAACTTTGCACAACCTCCCTCTTCCCCACCTGCACCCACATCCTCTTGAAGAGTTCCAGTTTGTTGAAGCTGCATCTCCTAACATAGGTGTAATAGACAGCTTTTGCCACCATGATCCCAAATCATCTTGCTTTCTCTTTTAGGAGCAAGTGGCACCCATTTCCTTGTTGGGTAAACTGCTATATTTGAGAGCACAGAACAGGC